CAGCCAAATTAAGAACTCCTCAAACATTAAAGAAACAAATTAAAATTTATTTTCTTCGATCTATTATTCCTGAAAATCAGAAATTCACTAATAAAACTTGAATCACAACTCAACTAAAATAATTTTTGAGATAAACACACATATATATTCTAATTGCATCTTCAATTTAATCCAAATTCTTTATTTTTTGTAGGTAAATATAATATTAACTAAATTTTAGATATTTTTTCAATCCCACAATCTTGAAAAGAAGAAACCTTTATTTGAAAACATTATCCCTCGCGACGGTGCCCAGCATTCCTCTGTCGATAGCAAGACATAAATGCCACGTAGGATCTCACGTGGCTTAGTTGACAAATATCCTTCCTAATACAGACTACATGTCAATCAATTACATTCTCCTCCCCGTTTTAAATGCTAAAATCTCAAAACTCAAACTCAATTGAATTCCTAAAACTTCCTAAGCCTTATGGTTGCAAAACCCAAGCCCAATCTTCTTCGATTCTTCGACGAACCCCAACCCCTCCCTCTACTCAACCCCTTCTTTTTAATTCAATGCTTCTATTACAATAACAGTTTCTACAAATTGAAACCAAAAGTCAAAAATATCAAAACTCTACATTTCCAATATAAGGAAGAATTTCAATAATTCTAATAGTTACAAATCATTTCAACGGAATAAAAATGAAAAATAATCACGTAAAATTAGAAACAGGTAAATAAAATGCTAAATTTTCAATAAAGATCAAAACTTTACTTTTGCAAAGCACCTTTCAATTCACAAGTAGCCGTTTTAGCCTCCTGCTAACTCAGCGGCGCACCACTCAAAACAACTCTAGCCACCGACTCAATAAAAATCCCCAACTATCTCCTCCTTCACCCATTGGCAAACTCCTACTCATCTAGCTCCGATGCAGGCTTCTACATTGTCGTCGTGACCTCACCTCCACTTGCTTGGGACGATACAATCGCTGAAATAGGACGAAAGGCATTGCGCATCAATTGCTTTGCCAATGGAGGAACGCAAGAGATGCCGCTGCAGATTCTAGTGTTAACCACTCCAATTCTAGCCACCTTAGCTGCTGCAAAACCCAAACCCAACCTTTGATGATTGATTTCAGAATGCTCATATATGTTTCTCTTTTTTGCAGTAGAGGGAGAGGTCGGGGTTTGCAGCGTCAGACGGAGGGGTCAGTGTTCGTCGAGAGATTAAAGAAGATTGGGTTTGAGTTTTGCAATCAGAAAGTTTAGGGATTTTTAGGAATTTCAATTAGGTTTGGATTTGTAGATTTTTGGTATTTCAAATCAGAAAGAAAATAGAATTGATTGACATGTAGTCCATATTGGGGAGAATATTTGTCAACCAATCTACGTGGGTTCCTACGTCAGGTCTTACATGGTATTCATGTCTTTCTCTCGTCCTATTTTCTCTTACATGTCAGCTAAAAATGGAATTTTAACCAAAAATATTCTCAAGTATCAATATAGGAATTTTAACCAAAAATATTCTCAAGTGTCAACATAGTTGTCAAAAGTTTGATTTATGTATTTTATGTTCAACGTTGAAAAAACTTACTAATATGATTAAAAAGTGTAAAATTTGTATTTTTTAGTACATTAAGCCTAAAATATAGTATATTTATGCTAGAGCTAAAATATTTTAGAGTTCTCCAAACTAATCATTTTAAGTATTTATTTTTTCTTTTGTTGATATTTATAGATAGTAAAATATTTTCAAATCAATTTTTATATTAATTGAAACTAAATCTACTAATTTATAATGAAGTATTTTAGACCAATTTCTTAGTGAGGTGAAAATGCTCTTCTTACCACCCTGCATGCAGCATTGATGTTATTTTCTGAGTTCGTTTTAGAGAAAAATTGCTATGTAGATTTAATCTATCATATCATATATGGATTAAACTAAAAAATATAGTTTTTTAAATTATCTTTTTTTCGCCTATCTCTCATATGAAATAACTATTCATCATTATTTTTCAAATACTTTTCAAAACACATAGGAGCCATAAACTTCCCATGAAATATTATGAAAAAAATCGAGGTTGAAGATTCTTTTATACAGAAAAAGATTAAGGTAAATATACTCATTTGTCTTTATATACTTGTTCAAAATTTCTCATATGTCTCTAAATTTTTAATTACATACCTCTCTATCTTTGAAATTGTTTAAAATATTTAATCTATCATTCCAATTAAATTTTTTGATCATTAATTTTTTTTTACCAAATTCCTTTTATTAAAATGAGAGAAAAAAAACTTTAAAATCACATGATCTATATGTTCTATTTTTGAAGTCTTTAGAATTTCATTTTATTTATTTTTTGCATTTCAATGAGAATAATTTTGGTAAAAAAAAAAATAATTTGGTTGAAAAAATCAATCAAAAAGATAAACTAAACATTTTAAATGCTTTTAGAGACAAATAAAAAGCAATTAAAACCTAAATATAATTGAAAAATTTTGAATATGATATAAGAATATATAGGTATATTTACGCAAAGAATTAATCATGTTTTCAGAATGTATTGCTCCTAAAGAAACGTGCATGCGAAGATCCAAAAATAGAGATTCTTATCCTTCTATTTATTTATTTGTTTATCCTGTGTTGCGCATGTTATCCAAACTCGAAGTTTGAACGATAAGTAAAGCAGGAAGCATGGTTTCGGATACTAAATGCATGGGGCATTTTTAAAAAAAATTATCTATTTATAGTTTAAAAAAACTATAAATTAGTTCTTTTAGTTTTTTTTTTAAATTGGATAATTCTTTTAGTTTCAAAAATTAATTAATTAATTCTTATGTTTATAAATCGATTTATAATTTATCATTTTCTTTATTTTTTATTTTATTTTTATTTTAAAAAATAGAAAATAATAGATAAAAATATTAAAGAATTGATGAGAAAACAAAATATTTTTTGAAACAAAATAATATTAAATTAATTATAATTAATATTGACGAAAGAAATAATTATTTAGTTTTTAGAACAAGAAAAACTGTTTTATTCATTTTTTAAAATTAAAAAAACTAATTTATAATTTACTGTAGAATGACTCTCAAGATTCGAATTTAAATAAATAAATAAATAAAACAAGCCTCAAGAGAAAACGGACAAGCCTAAAAAAACTGAAAAAGTCCACCAACTACGGGCCTTTAGTGCTACTGACACAACAATTGCAACCTAATTGACAAAATTGCCCCTCCCATTTTTTTCATCAATTCCTCCCAAACTGCAGAAACAAACCAGGAAAAACCATCAGTTCATCACCAATGTATTACGAGGACAATATTAGTGAGGAAAAATGACCTGCTACAAGGAAACGAAAAAGAACTTTAGGAAAAAAAAATCCTGACATGCAAATTGTAATTGAATATTTTAGGCACTGCAATAAATGTCGTTCGTCGAAAAATTGAGTTTTCTGTGATCGTTTTTTTAAGAGAGATTGTTAGAAAATTTTAGTTTATACATTTATCGATGGTTTAAGTTAATAAAAACAAGACAGATAGATAAAAAAAATAGTGGTCCTTCGTCCTTATGAGTTATGATGATGTATGCATTACATATCATTTTTTCTATGTATTTTATTGGCTAAGTTTACGAGTGAAAGAGACATAAAATGAGAAAATCACTTTCCCATCATATTTTTTAAAATATCTCTATCTATATTCAAAAATATATTTTTAAATTTTTTTTCCCTCTTCGTATCTGTATGAAGATAATTCTATATCTATTATAATAATAATAATAATTCTATTTAGATCTAAAAATACATATTTTTCTAAATCCTCTTTCTTTATTTGCATCTATATCTATATCATGTAAGTATTCATAATCGCTTTTTGGAAATTTAAGGAGCCATAAACTTTCTATCTAACGTTACATAAAAAAAAAAAAAAAAAATCCAGGTGGGAGATTCTTTTATATGGAAAAAATCAATCATGTGTTCAAAATGTGTTGCACCTAAATTATATGTGCACGCAAAAATCCAAAAACAGAAATTGTTATCCTGAATTTCTTTTTTTTTTTTTGGGGGGGGGGGGGGGGGGGGGGTCGGTCAAGGGTTGTGATCCTTTTTCAATTTGCTACATCATGCTCCAAACAGGAAGTTTGAATGACGAGAAAGCAGTCAGCATACTCTCGGCTTACTAAATAAAGAAAGCATAGCCTCCGAAAGGTTAGGACAATGGGAAAAGTAAAAAAATGTCAAGAGAATTGACGAGTAAATTATAAATTAGTTCCTCTAGTTTTTTAAAATAATTTAAACAGTCCTTTTAGTTTTAAATTTTTTTAACTAGTCCCTGTATTGATGAAAAAAGATGTTATTAAAACAATATTATTAAATTAACTACAGTTAACAACGATCAAAAGATTAATTATTCAAAATATCTAAATTAAGTTTTCCAATCATAGCTTCATCAACATTAACATAAAACATTTTTTTTATTTTAGATTCAAATCTTAAAGCTATCACTAAGAAAATTTTATTAAATTATTTTAAATGCACCAACCCATATACAAGATGCTCCTTTAAAATCGACTCGGTAGAGATTTAATGTTGATTGGTGCTCAAACTGATCAGAATATACTCTTATCATTTAAAGGGAAAAAAAAACATTAATTTTCTTATTAAAAAATCAATTACGAACTGTATGGTATCCCTAGTTGAATATGGATGGAAACTTTAGGAATCCAATTGAAATAAAAAATAAAATGTTTGAGAACTTATCTGGACTACATATACAGTTAGAGGATTTATTCTTGTGGTTTGCCCAAAAAAACCTCATAGAACTTTGGTCCAACGGGCAATAGCTAACATACCAGTTTCGTCATATCCTTCTACGACAGCTTATATTGTTGACTATATATATCCACATGACAGTAGTGGTATCCCTTAAACCTGCTGTCTCTTCTTTCTTTATTTCTTGCTTGCTTGCTGCTTCTACAATTCAGAGAGAGAGAAAGAAGGAGAAATTGAGAGATGGGTACCGTTGCAGCTTATGTCGAAGATGGCAAGGTTCCACAGCAACAAGCTGATGATCATCAGCAGAAAGACCTTGATGCTGGTGCTCTTTTTGTTCTGAAATCCAAAGGTAATTAATTAACAGAATAACAAGCAGCTTGAAGCAATATTTTATGCCATCATCTTCTTTGTATTCATTTCCATTCTCAGTTTACCACCTTCTTTTGCTCTTTGATCTCTCCATTTTTGCCCTTTTCTTGTTTCTTTTGTAATCTCTTCTATTCCTTCTCCTTCTCCTTCAGTACAAACATATATTAATTTCCACATATAGAGGAAAACTTCATGTTTCACTTGCCACAGTCCTTACCTATTAATTTCATACTCTTTAATGTCCAATATTGGCCAAATGATCTGAAAAAACTGTATATACTAGTTGCTTCGCTCTAAATTTTATAACAAATTGAACGAAGATTTAGAAGACAAATTAAGATTTTCAATACAATTCTCTAATTAATTTTGCCTCATGCCGGGGTGATGCTACTGAGCTATTTATGGCATCATTAACGACTTATTGTGCCCTCAATGTAATGATTTGTTAGTATCACCATCACTTACATAAATACCAATAACTTGATAAATGAATTTATTACATGAAATTAATTCATAATTTGTACCAAACTAATCAAACATGTATTTTTCTAAATATATTCTTCATATCAAAATATTAAAATTAAAAACTCAATTTCTCAACATCTTTTTTCTTTTTCCATTTTCCTTTTGTCACGCATGACAGGTCATTCATCTTTAAAATATTGCATGCTTAGGGCAAAGAAAGAGAAAAATTCTCATTAAAAGGCTATGCCATAGGATTTCGAATCTTCTCTTCCCTTTTTTTTTCTCCCAGAAAATCAACTGTTCGTGTTATTTAATCGAATATAAAAACCATGAAATATTTGCTTTGACTTTTTTTTAATGTGTACACAAATTCAGGATCATGGCTGCATTGCGGTTACCATCTGACAACATCAATTGTTGCACCACCTCTTCTTAGTCTGCCCTACGCTTTCACATTTCTTGGATGGGCGGCCGGAGTTGCATCTTTGGTGATCGGAGCTCTGGTCACTTTCTATTCATACAACTTGTTGTCTTTAGTTCTTGAGCATCATGCTCAAAAGGGTCATCGCCAGCTTCGGTTCAGGGACATGGCTAACCACATATTGGGTAATTCATTCACCTGCTTTTCCCTTCTCTTTTAGTTATTATTGCTTGGAATTTGAATAGATGGCTATTCTTTTTATATTAAAATTCCTAATAAATAGCAGTCAGTTAACAACATGCCTAGTTGAGTGTTTTCTTTTCTCCATATGAGGATATAGAATTGGACCCAAAAAAGGATGGGTGGTGGTTTTTGACCCTGCCTGAGTGCAAAGCGACTATTTTCTTTATTACAATTACCTACCTGAAGTCATAACAATTGTCGTTTTCGGACTCTTGTACCACCTGTAATAAAGGTGAGGCATAGACTTTAGACTCCTTTTTACAAGATAGACTATTATTAATCTGAAAAATAGTACCCTTTCTCTATCACACGCATTGAAAATCTCAACTCATGATAGGGGCGAATGATACCTATGGTTATTTAACTTATTTTACCATAAGCAATTAATTAATAAGATTATTCTATTTACTTGCTTGAGTGTTATTTACTTACTTAGTATTAACTGAGTTTTTGTATTCAATTAATTTGTTTATAGGTTTACGTTAGTGATGTTGTTGATGATACTATAAAATCAAACGACATGTGTTTTTTGATCTTATTGATTCTATTAATTATTATTTTTTTATTTTTTTTATTATAGAACGTAGTTATTGAAAAATTTTTTAAAATAAATATAAAGATTTTTCACCATTTTTATCAAATAAATCATTTATTGATATTATATTTTTTTCAAAGTTATTTATTCTTCTCGTTTTTTATTATAGAAACATTTATTAAAATTAGAAATAAATTGAAAATTTAAGATTCATCACCATTTTTTGTTAAAATATATATCTATTGAAATTATATTTTTCTTTAAAAAAAAAAAATCAACAAATGTCTTTTGTAATAAAAAAAAGGGGAATATTAAAGAAGTCAAAGGACACATATTGTTTGATCATGCAATCTAGTTAACGACGTTAGCTAGCAATATTATTGACAAAAAAGCTCATGAATCATGGGTATCGTTAACCGCTCTTAATAGTGAGGTAATTTATTAGGATATAATGTGACACTAGTTTGGAGACTTAGTGCCTGTTTGGCAAGAGGATTTTTTAACTTTGTTTTAAGCTATCGATGATTTTTTTTTTTTTCAAAACCAATTAGAAAGGTGTCTAGTAAAATTTTAAAAGTTATTTTGAAAGTCATTTAGAAACCAAAGGTCATAAATTGTAAAATAAAACTTGTGGATTTTTAAGTTTTGTATAACATAAAATTTTAACAACATATATTAGTAAACGTTTTTTTTTTACAGTTATAATAGCTACAACTACAGTTACAGTAAAAAAAAAAATCACATTGTTTCTAAACGAATCCTTGGATAGGATAGCATTTTGAGTTGGTTTTGAACTTCTATCATCTTGGATTTTGAATTTTAGAAGAATTAGCAAAAAGGAAAAAAAATCTCACGAATACACAAGTTCCTACATAGATGTTCTGTTTGGGTTCCAAAATAGTGAAACCATAAATATCAATAAAATAATAATAATAAACCAAAAGAAAATGTGACGTGATGATGACATCTTGCATGTACTAGTTGAAGCCAAATCAATGGGGAGTGGTCATAAAAGAATTCCAAGTCCAACTAGCAATGTCTGGACACCTATTTCTTGATTTCGACATATATATTTATGATGTCGACAACAACTGTACATTTTTGGTTGCGTTTTTTATTACAAGGGGCCATTATTTGCAGGCTATATAGCCTATAGGACACGTGTTTAGCTGCTACATGTATATTTCACATTGGGGAGCATACCTATGTTGTCCTCCAAGCGAAAGCAATGTCTTATTGCTTTTTTCTTAAGTCTATATAAATTTTTCTTAGAGACCTTTTGTGTTAGTTCTTTATTTTTTTCCATTTTATTCGGAAAAAAAAAATGACAGTTGGCATTTTAGTGATGTAATTAGGTGAAATTTGACATTTTTTCAAAATAAATAAGTTAGCTGTTACATGAGGGGAAAAAAGTTAGGCGATTCGAGTAGAAAATGAAATTGCATGTTATTTATTTATTTATTATAATTGAAATGTATAATCATTAGGTAGACTTACTTTCATTTAGGAATTTTTTTTATCTAAATCATGCAATATAATACGTGTGATGGGGAATCTAATATTAAAAATTTCATGTACTGTTGTTTTCTTACTTATTTAGAAAACTCTATTTTGAAATCATATATTTGTATTAAATTGGTAAATTAATTTTTTTTATAAACAAGTTGACGAATTCAGTTCCATATTTATTATATTTTGACAATTCGATCTAACTATTTTCAATTCTTAACTAACAGGAAAATATTAGTTACATGCCACGCAATTTTGAGTAAAATGCCATGCCTTAATTTAAAAAAAAAAATCATTTTTAAACATTAAAAAATAAAAATAAAATTCATTTAGGATTCTCACCGACTCTCTCAACCTTATTGTTGACTCTTGCACAACTGTATACTTTACATTGCATATATAAATACATAATATTTAAAAATTTTCATATGTCTTAAATTTTTTAATTATATTTCGTTTGTTTTTAAAAATGTTTGAAATATTCAATTTAATTTTTTGATAAATAATTTTTTTTGACCAAAATGTAAGTCATATATTTTTAAATGTTTTTGTTTTTTTAGTAAAAAATATTTTGATCAAAAATTTTAATTGAAAAATAAATATTTTAAAAATTTCTAGAAATAGATGAGAAACTTTAAGAATTATATAAAAATAAAGGAGTATGTTTTTCTTAAAAAAACTTAATTTTTTATGTCTATTAAAAATTAAAGATAATTAGATTAAATTATCTAAATATAAGAAACATAAAATCAAAACTCGTTAAATTGTTTCTAGAAAATTTAATTTATGAATTTAACAAAATCACAAATTTCCAAAATAGAGTTTTTCCAGAATTTTTGTTTGACTTTTCTACTTTAGAGTTTCGGCTGGTCGTCCTCTCTTTTTCGTCACGTGATCCTAGAAAATTGGATCATGTGGCCCACTTTCTCGGCTTGGACCAATGAACTTTGACTCTCATAACATATCAGTCCAAATGCAATAGTTTTCCAAAAAAACCTAAATACAATGCACAAGGACTATTTTTTCTTTTACAAGCAACTCCCCATGTTAGTTAAAACGAGATTCTTGAATCCGATTAATAATTTATAAAAATAAAGATAGAAATAATTTATAAAATAATAAACTGAATATGGATTCACGTAAAAACTGATTCAAAAATATTTTATTATTTATAAATATTAAAGCAAAATAAAAATGAAGGAAGGATACTTATGCATATTTTTAAAGAAATACATCAACTATAATCTCACAAATTATTACACTCATTCTCAATCTATGAATTGTCCTGTAGATTGATCTTTTATATATATATATATACACCTTTGCCGTGCTCGGAAAGGTTTTTGAAACATACCATTTCAGTGCATCGTCTAGTTAGCACCAAAGATAAAGTTTATTGGAACGTTTTGAATTAGATTAGAGATACATAGAACAATTTATTTTTATATGATAGATTAAGTTTTTAACTTGAAAAATATTTTTAATTACATTTATGATGTTTTTTAATATTGTTTTTGTTTTTAATTTGTTATTTGGATTAATTTTTTCGACTATGAATAAATTTTTTTATTGAAATATTGCTGACTAAAATGATAAAAAAAAAGAGTTAAAGTTATATTACAAGCATGCTTTATTTTTTAAGTTTTTAGAATTTTTTTTTTTTTTGTATTTCAATAAGAGGCTCTTTGGTTAAAAAATTTACTCATAATCAGAAAAATTATATATATATATATATATATATATATATCAATCTGTTTTGAATTAGATTGGAGAATTTGTTTTTATATAATAGTTTAAGTTTTTAACTTAAAAAATATTTTTAATTAAATTTATTATATTTTTGAATATTTTTTTTCAATTTGTTATTTAAATTAATTTTTTTCAATATGGATAAATTTTTTAATCAAAATATTACTGACTAAAATGCAAAAAAAAAAAAAAAGATTTTTTTTTAAATTTTTAGAATTTTTTTGTTTATTTCAGTAAGAGGCTTTTTGGTTAAAAAATTTACTCATTATCTGAAAAATTAATAAAAGAAAAAATGAAGACTATACTATGATATATATAAAAAAGACAGATTTAGCTATTTATTGTTATATTAGACTTTTTTTTACCTCTAAGAAATCAGACAATGTCGGGGCACACCCGGCCATGCATATTGGGTTGTGGCGATCATATTCTTAGCATGTTCACACCCAAATTGTTGTTGATTTTATAGGGCCAAAATGGGGCAAGTATTTTGTGGGCCCAATTCAATTCGCAGTGTGCTATGGTGCTGTTGTTGCTTGTATCCTTCTTGGAGGACAATGCATTAAGGTGAGAACTTTGGTAGCAAAATTTATCTTTTTCAAAACAAAAGGCAAAGGAAATAATCTTTCTCTTTTCTCTTTTCTTTTTCAGGCAATTTATTTGTTGTCAAAACCAAATGGGGCAATGAAGCTTTATCAATTTGTAATCATATTTGGGTGCTTAATGTTGATATTAGCTCAAATGCCATCTTTTCATTCCCTAAGGCACATCAATTTGATATCCTTGGTTCTGTGCCTCGCTTATAGTGTCTGTGCCACTGGTGGTTCAATTCATATTGGTGAGCAAAAATAATGAAGAAAAATCGTTCGATTAATTTAGATAAGTTCATAATTAATTAGCTTGGATTATTCTTCATAGGAACTTCATCCAAGGAACCGAAGGATTATTCTGTAAATGGTGACACCCAAGATCGCCTTTTCGGTAGCTTTAATGCCATTGCTATCATTGCCACTGCATATGGCAATGGGATCATCCCAGAAATTCAGGTATGGATTAGCCCAGTTCCCTCTAATTGTGCATTTTTTTTTTTGGTTTAGCGGTGGAATTCTCAGGCCAGTTTTCGCACACCGAGACTAGGTTTGAGTCAAGGTTTAGGATCCTTTTCAATAACTTCAATGGGAGAAGATCATTTGACCAAGTGTATATAAAATTTCTTGTTGCAGGCAACAATAGCACCACCTGTGAAAGGGAAGATGTTCAAGGGATTATGTGTATGCTATACTGTACTTTCATCTACCTTCTTTAGTGTTGCCATCTCTGGTTATTGGGCATTCGGCAACAATTCTGAACCTCTAATAATTAGCAACTTCGTAGCTAATGGGAAAACTTTGGTGCCTAAATGGTTTGTTTTCATGACAAACATCTTCACCGTTCTCCAACTATCAGCAGTAGCTGTGGTATGAACATCTCCTTTCTGTCTCTTCCTCTACCAAATTTGCACTGCACTAGCTTAAACTACATGATTTGCTACGTACAGGTTTATTTGCAGCCTACAAATGAAGTGCTCGAGAACACATTTGCAGACCCAACGCAAAAAGAACTCTCCGCTCGAAATGTAATCCCGAGGGTAGTCTCACGGTCTTTGTCTGTCATCCTAGCAACTACAATAGCAGCAATGCTTCCATTCTTTGGAGATATCAATTCATTGATTGGAGCTTTCGGTTTCATCCCTCTAGACTTTATCTTGCCTGTTGTTTTCTTCAACTTGACATTCAAGCCATCGAAGAGGAGCATTGTTTTCTGGTTGAATGCCACCATTGCAGTAACCTTCTCAGCCGTAGGAGTTATAGCAGCAGTTGCAGCAGTAAGACAAATAGGTCTTGATGCCAAAACTTACAGGTTGTTTGCTAATGTTTGATTAGATTACATGGCATATTGGCTCACAGTAGTAGTAGCCAAATGTATATCATGATACTCTTCGTTAGTGATTAATATAGAGCCTTCTCAGTTCCCAATAGTATGGAACTAACGGCATCCAGTATTCCTGTTACAAGAAGCAATATTCTCTCAAGGAATCAGAAACAACTGTTTGAGAATTGACAGCAAGAAAAGTTTCTATATTGAGCTGATATAGCTAACTCCCTGAGTAAATTTAGAGAAGTACAAAATTTTGATGGCTTCAAGCTAAAAAAATTCAGGGAATTGAGACTTAATTCAACTATATATCAGTCTGCAACAGCAAGAACAAGGTCCATCTCATCTACTAAGAGGCTAATAAGAGGAAGAAAAAAAAAATCGAATCCCACATTTCAATTGCTAGTTATGAAGACCTATCGCAGATATAAATCTAGAGCTTTTCATAACTGGGGGACACCAACATTGGCATGTACTCTTTGGTCGGGAATGGGCTGTTGGGACTGCAAGACATTTTGACCACTAGGGTTTTGAGAACCAGCATTTGCTTGTTGGTTTGAAATGACTCTGTTACCTGCTTCTTCATTTCTTGGTTCTGAAAGTGCAGATGTTGGTGTAGTGCAGTTATCTTCCCGGTCTGTGGTTCCGGCAATTTGTATGGGAACTCTTACTATATTGGAATCCGCATGCAAACTGGGAGCTGTAGGTTGCTCAACTGATTGCCTCCTTTTAATTTCCTTGCCAATGTTCTGCTTGAAACTGGCAATAATAAGCTGGTAAATCAAAACAAACCTAGCATGAGATTGACAAGAACGAACAAGCTAATAAATCGGGTTAATTGCAAAGAAATTCATAAATCTATGAACTCTGTGTTATGTTCACGACAATCTATGGACAATGGACATAAACATCTGGTGAATGCTATCTTAGAAGAAAAGGAAAAGCGAATAGGCAGAGCATACTTGAATAGGACCAGCTGCGATTAAACAGCCAGCAACACCACCACCAAAAACCCGGCCATCAGGCTTAGCCAGGGAAACACTTAGCATGCCATTTTTGCGATTTGAACCTCCTGTGTCGCCGAAAGTGAATGATCCAGATAGAGATAGGATTTCAAAGCGGCCCTGCAAGAAATGGAAAATTAATGAGAAACAAAGAAAAATAAACAAATCAAAAGCCTTTTTTTTTCTTTTCTTCTTCCAGGCATGATCATTTCATACATCATATCTCAAAATTCCTCCAGAAGAACCAGGCTGACGCATAATAACACTTGAGACAACACCAGTAGCAGAAAGAACGCAAACTGCTCGAGCACCCTTTTGAGATAATGCCAGTATCATAGTAACTATATCCTGCAGGTCAGAAAATGGAATCAGAACATCTTGACACAGGCCATGCCAACAATGGGAGAGACCGTGAATATACAAAAAGACTTAAGCAACTTTACTTCTCCCAAATTTTACAGTACCTCTCCAGTATGAACGGGCACTACGTGAGGGGTGAAGCTTCCTCCTGCTGTTTCTGCAGCAAAACCACCTTTACACAGAAAATTTTAACAGAAGTGAAGGGAGGGATCGCCATTGAAGAACATAATTCAATACCTTGGAAGCAGTTCTATCACCAAAATGTTATTCAAGATCAAAATAATTAGTATTATCTTTTTGTTCCCAGGTGAACATGCTCCATCATTGCTAGGATTTCTGATCAGTATTTAGAGTTCAACAATATCGATAACCCAACAATATTACTCGTTAATTAATATTTTTTTTTAAAAAAAACACTCGAACATTGTGATTTGAATCAAATTTCATTATCCCTTTTAAAAATTAAGCAAAAGTTTCTATTAAGCCCTTCTTGAAAATCATGAATTTTTAAGTTGAATTTTTTTTCTTCTTTGGACAAATATTACTCTAAAAAATGGATATATACACAACTTAATTCACAGTTCATTCTATGATCTGAATATATCCGAAATCTGAATAGATCCTAAAATATCCAAATTTGGTATTATTAAAATTCTATTACAAGCGTGTATTCAATTCCAAAATAATAAAAAAACAGGAATTTACTGCGAAATTTAAGAATTATGTTATTACTCATCAAAACACATAAATTGTTTCAATCCACTTAAAACCAAATCCAATTTCCATCACAATTCTACCATGCATTGATGCTAAGCATCAATCAAGATTTACTAGGAAGAAGCAAAACAAATGATTATAGAGAACACAAAGAATTTTTTCACATAACAAATAGGGAAAAAAACTTACAAACAATCAACCCATTGCGTATTAATCCAACCAAAAAAAGGAAAGGAATAAAGCAACATAATTCCAGCAATTCCTTGCAATAAAAGCTAGTGCATATTTTGAGTACTCACCAAGGGAAGCCAAGAGTTGCAGTTTACCAGAACCACGGGGCCTCCCTCTGCCCCGTTTCTCGTAACTCGAAAGAGAAGACGAAAGGCCCGGTGGCGGAGGTGGAGGAGGTGATGACGCTAGGTTTGCATCCGCATCATACTGCCTAGGTCTTCCTCTCTTTCTTTTCAAGGTGTTTTCAACAACGCTCTCTGAGCCTGACCCTCCAGAGCCGCCTGCTGCACCACCATCAAGGTTATTTGGCTCTAGAGTATGATCACTACCATCTGCTGCAACTTGGTGCATCACCCGGTCTCCCGGTGGGTCATGATCCTTTGCTGCCATAGGAGTCTGATCGGAGACCATCATGTTCTTCTCTTCCATGCAATCCATGACATTTAAAAAAAAATAAAAAATACTAAACAGCAACGCACGTAATTAAATAGAGAAAAAAAATATTTTTTTCTCTTCTGTGTCTAATAAAAAACTTAGGAGATTATGGAAGAAGAAGGGTTTTGAACTATCAGGGATTGTGTGGAAAAGGCGCCATGAAAGAAACCTATATATTGAACAAATATATATATATATATATTTTGCTTGTGCTTATGTTATGAACTTATTGGGATTATTATTCAATAATATAGAGGAGAAAAATAGATTTTATTTTATTTTTGAGAGAGAAAAAAAGTGAGCTCCTTGAAATATTTAAGAGTTGCTAATTATAAGTGGGTATTTTGGATTTCCTATTAGAAAAAGGACAAATATTGCAGTTACAATATTAATTACTGGTTTTTAACTTTTTAAGGGGAATAGAATCTGCCTTAATTAATAAAATAAAAATATATATATCTTTGATTTATTAAGTAATAAAATAACCATTTTGTCAATAATTACGTCTGATTTTTAAATTATATTTAAGAGATTTTATTTCCAAAAATGACGAGGAAAAAGCTGTAATATTTATCGCCGATATTTTCTTTTTTCAAATTTGATTTTTTGAATTTTAAACATATTCTTTTAGTGGATTAAACAAATACAATTTACGAACTGGCTAATTATCCAAGATTAAAGATTAAAAGATACTATCTTTTCGCTAATCATGCTGAAAATAGCATAAATTTTTTTTTTTTTTTCAAAAAAAGAGCCACATCCCAAATTAGCCACAAACCCATGTAACCACCTGCACTACCATCCCGGAGATGGTTTGCTCCAACTCTCAAGCTTTGGGCCAGTGCTCTTAATAACAACAGCCTGAACCTCATGGCTAGAGAAAAGACAGTGGCAAAAGCAAGAATTTTTCATTTTCTAGCCAGTCCCCAATTTGTTATACAAGTCTAAATGTTCAGTGCAAATAACAATTTCTCATTTTCTTGTAACAGTTCTATTAAATGAATAAAAATCAATCTTTTTTATTCGAATATTTCTAACACGACAACAACTAATCGTCCCAGAATTATGTCAGGTAGTCAAATGAGGTCCAAAAGTTCTCTCTCCATCCAAATCAGCACTCCTAAACACAATAAGTCACTGAAATCAACGTTGCATTATGGGTTGCAAGGAGCACCCTAGAAAGGTTCTTGAATTGCACTGCCAGGAAAGGAAATGCCAGGAAGAGCAGCAGCCTGGTCACTAAAGTTTCCATCACCATCACCAATAATGCAATTAAGTACAAGCTGTAGGAGAAAAAAGGGATTGGATTTATGATGATTAGCCCGGCATTAGTTATCAGAACGTAGCCCAACTCAAATGGATTAACCATTCATTTCTATTAACTAGAAAAAAAAAATGAAATCAGCTCAAACAAAATCACCAATAATGCAATTAAGACACCAACGAAAATCAGCAACCAGAGCAGCAGCAGCAACTGAAATTTGACTTTTTGAGGATTTTATGGTATGGGCCTCATCAAGAACCACTCTAAACCAATGAACTGAATATAGTCCCGCATTCTCTTCAGCATTCTGCAAAGGAGACAGTTCAGCAGAAGGGTACTTTATTTTGTTATTTAAAAAAAAAATGTGTCAGGGAAAAAAAATCCTGTTAACACAATGAGCCTTTCAAAATACCTCTGCTGAAGAATCTGAGGCTAACACTCCATACGTGGTTATTACAACATTACTCTGGGCGAGAAAATTTGCATCCTTCACTCTACTTTGTCCATAATGAACATAAATGGACAGAGAACCAGGTTGTGCATGAGTTTCTAACTCTGCCTGACAAAGCACTCAAATGATCATTTTCATAAACAAAAAGATAACACAGGCATACTTGAATCAGGACCGAAATGCTACAATGTAAGTGCTTAAAGAAAATTTTATGCGTCAAAATGAAACACAATACCTTCTACTGGCCCAGAAGAGTCACCGGACATATTATCAGATTGTCACCATTTACAAGGATGCTTCAACTTATCAAAGCCTGAAGATTTTGTAGACTTGGTCAGTTGATTTGGCAGTTGGTCTGAGTTATCACTTGAACCACCTCCAGTGCAAGGCTGACTCCCAGATTGACCATTTGACGATCCACCCGTCTGAATAAGTGAGTAGGAGGGATATGGTCATAATGGTCTTCCCAAGTCCCATAGCATCTGCCAGAATCTTCAAAAGCATAATCTGGTCAAGACACTGCACACAACAAGATGGGTACATATTCAAGTTTCAATAGAAGTTGATGTACAGGGACCTACTCCTCCTCTGGCCATTTGAAGTGTGCTTGGAAATTCTATTGTAGCATCGCCTGAAAAAACATTCAAATAGACGACAAGCTCCCTCCTGTTTAAAACAGATACCTCATTAATATCCATCTCAGAGTAACTCTAACATATTGAATGCTACAAGAATCCAACATAATTGTCTACTAAATGATAAGCCTCCCAACATGGATGAAGTGTTGTTGTTGCTGCCCTGTCCATGCATTTTCCCTTCTCCAGCTGAATCATCCAATGTAGGGCCTGCTTTTGGGAGGGGGACGAAGGTCACATTGGAGTGTACTGGGAGGATCCATTTCCTAAATCAGAACCATTGTCAAGTAAGTCACCTGCTATGTGCATGCACAAGCTCCATGCACATAATATTCTCATACACAAGAGTACCTCTAACTCAGAGCTGTCTCCAACACCAACAATATTCTCAAGATCTGCATTTGACATGGACTCCTCATTCTCAACTTCATTTCCATTTCCAGACTGATTCATGTCCAAAACTTCTCTCTCCATCCAAATCAGTACTCCTCAATACAATAAGTCACTGAAATCAACGTTGCATTATGGGTTGCAAGCAGCACCCTAGAAAGGTTATTGAATTGCACAGCCATGAAAGGGAATGCCAAGAAGAGCAGCAGCCTGGTCACTAAAGTTTCCATCACAAACACCAATAATGCAATTAAGGACAAGATGAAGAAGAAACAAGGGATTGGATTATGATAATTAGCCTGCCATTAAATATCAGAACGTAGCCCAACTCAAATGGATTAACCAGTCATTTCTATTATCTCGAAAAAAATATGAAATCAAGTCAAACAAAATCATGTGGCCTCTATCTGTATCAATCAATGGGTTTGATCAGTATAGTCAGCCTCAGTAGTTTCTTTCTATTATTTTGGTAACAATAGGGGACAGTGCCCACCAAGCAAAAACAAAAACAGCCATCTGCTTCAGAAAGAAAGCTGGGATTTGGTTCTTCATTCCTCTCTATCCAAGTGTCCAAATAGCTGTCTCCAGTGCACTGATGCTTCTTCTGGTGTCCGCATCTTCCAGAGCTGGGGCTTGGCTTTCTCACGACTCTCTAGAACTTCCTGCATTTCAGAGTCCACTCTGGCAAGTTACTTTCACGGACAGAGTTTAAATAAACTGAGCAGTGCGCTTGGTAGAAAAGGAGCGATCTATGTACATAGTGGTTCCAAGAATGACACACATGAATCAAAACTACATTGTGAACTCATAAATGTTACATCACCAATCGCTGGTAAAACACCAGATTGTTGCATTGTGTCGCTTGAACCTTGGGAAGATTTAAAATGCTAAGTTTATTCAGATTCCAAATACAGCATCTTGCAAAGACTCAGATTAAAAAAGAAAGAAAGAAAGAAAGAAAAGAAAAGAAAGGAGTTTGAAAACCAAAATGTCTCCATTAAAGTTCTCTCTCTCTCTCAGTACATTACAGTATCTAGGCTCTCTGCACACTATATATGCAAATGTAAGATCCATTGAAGATCTCTCCCCCTCACCCCAGGTGCAGTATCCTATGCTAGGCTCTATGTATCACCTGTGCAATGTAAACCCCAGCGAAGTTTTCTGTCCCTCTGTGTACAGCTACAGCATCTATACAAAATGCTTATGATTCTAACAAATGGTTCTCACGACCATTTATTTTGCGATTACAATGCCAATTTTTAATCATTACATTCAAAAAAGTGCTTTACGCTAAAGAATATTGAATAACTTCAGACACTACAAGCTCGATACTAATCAAATCAAGACCTAAAGCACCATAGTTGACATTCTGCACCACTGCAAGCTTCTTCGTCTGAATTCCACAGAAATAAAACCCCTGATTCAAATCCAGGAGAGAGAAAAATGGCAAGAACAACCAGACAATGGGGCTAAACAATAAACTAAAGCCAGAATATATGGTGAGAAAGCCAGCATAGCACCACAGCTTTTTTCTCGTTTTAAAGTTATGGTGGTTCCTTGAAATACAATTTCCACAAAATAACAAAAGAAAAATTATATTAAAAAAACCAAGTGAGGAAAAAAAATCCAATTATTATACTAGCAAGACAAGAAATCATTATCACACAGCGATAGAGTATCTGGTAAAGAACCCTTACTTAATTCTGAGTAAAAATTTGCTTGAAAAAAGAAATAAAACAAAGCTTTGCAGTAATTAAAAGAGAGAGAGAGAAAGACAGACCTGGACTTCAGAAGATTTCTTAGTCTTGAGAGTCAAGCAGTCGACCAAATTCCTCCATTTCTGAGAACAGTTATCAAAAACTCCAACCCTATAATATTGCTGCATTTGATGCACTGGAGCTTTACAATAATAATAATTTCCATTATTTTCATTAGTTAATCAAATATTTATTTTAGATACAAGAATACTATGATTTGGTAAGTGCTTACAGTAGCAGAACCAGAGAGCGTCGAAGTGGATAGTGCAAGATAAGCGCCGTTTGAGTGTTGAAGAGGAGGAGGAGGCTTCCTTTTCCGGACCCGTTTCCATTGCTAGATATATGGATCCGCACAACGAAAACCCAGCTCCCTCCCTATATTTTGCTCCTTTTTCAGGGAGAGTATGACGTTAGAGGGTGTGATTCTGATGACCCATTACAGGTCGGCTTCGGGGTTCAGTTTTTAGTAATTTCGGTTCGATTTTCAGTTAACCCAACACAACAAAATAACAACCGAACCGGACAAAATTATAATTCGGTTTGTTGTTTAATTTCGGTTTCAAAACATTTTAGTTTAAATTTCAGTTTTTTGATATTAATCCAAATTATCAAAATTTCTAAAGAGTTATGCAAAGGCAAATTCAGAGAAAAAAACATGAAGCACAAACTCACCATCCCAAACTATTGATATTTATAAAGTTTTTAAACTCATATATGAGTTTTTTTTCGATGTGGGATGACTTGAAAGTTAGGATAACAATGAGGTGAGGTGGAGCGGAGATTACCATCCCCATCCCCGCCCCGTCTCTTAAAAAAAAAAAATACATCCCACTCGGTGCTTCGTTCGAGGCGAAATTTCGCTCTCCATTCCCATCCTAAACATGGTGAGGCGAGAGATCGCCATCCCCATCCTCACCCCGCCAAAGAAAAAAAAACCCATCCCCGCCCCGTGCTCCTTTCGGGGTAAAATTTCACGCCCTTTATCTATTCTAAACGAGACGAGACGAGGCGGCTTCGAGGCGGGTTGGATTGTCATCCCTACTTGAAAGTTTGTTAGTTTTGGTCAATGAGATGCCTATTCATAAACATTTCAAACTCTTAAAAACACATTCATTTTTTATGTGGGATTGTGAGTTAGTGAATATATCTTTTTATCTAACATCATTTGGTTTAACTTTTGAAAAGTTTAAGATAGCTTATAAATAAAGTCGAGTTCCTTTCTTTTCTTTGAGAGTAGTTGCCGAGTAAAGTATGGGTTCCGAGTTTCAAAATTTATAGTTGGGTTGCTTTTTTGAAGTTCTTAGAAGTCTAGTAAGAAATATGTGAGACCAACTTCCTCTTTAATAAATTATAAACTTATTTTAATTTAAGTTAAATAAAATCAGGTGTAATGTTCGGTTTCTGGTGGATATTGGTTTAAATCAAAAACCGAATTAAAATATGTATTTCGGTTCGGTTTTAACTTGCTACCCTCTAGGCTTCGGGTTGAGAAGCCTGATACAGAGTCCGCCCCGTTAATTTTCTTGTTGGGTAAGTTAGAACTCAAAGCCCATTTCAACTTTTTGGTTACAAAAGCCCACTTATTTCAAATGGGTACATCAAACTCTTTTAGGCCCAATTTTCTTTCTGATAATGTTTTAGAAGATAGAAGTGCTACCATCTCCAATATTATTTTTCTTTCTTTTTTTTAAGGCTCATATCAATAGGAGTTTTCCCTTCAATTCCTTTCCTTCCAAAATGGTAAAAGAAACCTAAAAGAAGTTCGAATTAATTTTCTGCTCTTTAACATATTTATCATAATTTTTCTTCTTCCTAAATTTAATTGGCCATAATAATTTTTTTGGATTTACAAACTTATGAACAACTTGAATACGATCTAGGGAGAACAATCTCATTTGCCACCCAAACCAAGCTGTCAAAGGTTTTATTGTTATTTTCAATTCCAACATTAGACGACAAATTTAAGCAAATTTCTTGTACTAAGTTGTAATCCGAATCGCAAGGTTAAAAATTAATGCCACATTTTTGCATTTTATAGGGTACATAAATAATAGTCACTGATGCAAATATAATACAGAATCATACCCCTAGCGATTAACAAGTTACATTTGGCGGTGGTCCCTCTACATCCCACCTGTCCAAAATCATCTTCCTATACACAGCAGGCTCTATTTGAGAATCTGCCCTTGAACGCAAATGGATTCCAAATCCACAAAAGTTCAGTAATGAACTTCGATAATTAAAAAAGTTGATCTGAAGTTTTAGCCTTGTCTCCCTTCCATGCCCAGCAGCTTGTTTCAACTCTGGACCACCCTTTTACGAGATGATGAAGCCTCAAGCATGTGACCCTGCATATGCCAAGATTGCAACCCATCGAAAATTTTGCCTCAGAGATCAAAGCTTATTGCCTTAAGCTAAAGTATCATCTACTCATCCTCCATCAAAGTCTTGATTGCTATATGCAAACCATGTAAGTTTGTTAGGGTCTAAGCATCTTGGTATTAGGAGCTAATAATCCCCTGAGAATAATGGTGCAAAGATAAGAACAAAAAGTCTCCATATACATCACTGATCTATGTAAACAGCATCTTCAACTCTTCAATTCGTGCAGTTCGAACTTCTTGATCACTTAAAGCACCAGAAATCATCCGCTGCTTGCGTGCTTGCACTGCTTCCATTCTTTCCTCGACTGTTCCCTGCCATCCAGATAATCCAAAAAGGTGCAAAGAGTCATGTTAGTCAAAGGTTGGAAATAGATTGATGCCCATGAGTGAATCAAATATTGGAAAACGGCAACACTAATCATTTTTCAAACTCAACTCCCAGAAAAAAGCTACCTATGTCTTTATTATTTTTCATCAAAAAAAAATTGAAGATGAAATGTTGGGCCATTCAGGCTCTTGCAAAAGTTTTACTGGCAGCGTCAGTAAAATAGCTGAGGCAAATAAATAACCTCCAATTCCATTGGTTCCAAAACAAGGAAAAAAATATACCTTTACAATGAACCGCCTGATCATCACTCTTTTAGTTTGTCCAATGCGATGAATACGCATGACAGCTTGCTCCTCTACAGCCGGATTCCACCATGGATCCTATTAAAAACTTGAACATCAATGTTTCTTGCATAATGTCAAGGTTAGAGAAATGAAAGCATAATGAAGATGGAAAAGAAACAACAGGACGGAAGTTCATGTGGTGTAGGTTGACCCAAACAAACAAACAGCCCCCCCCCCCCCCCCCACAAAACCCAACCCAAAAAAAAAGTAGCCTGAACAAAGAAAAGTTTATCAAACAAACATAACCAAAATGAAAACTCAAATAACAAGCAATCAAGAGTCATTTTGCAAGCTCCTAATAAAAAAAGAATCATCAATTGTAACAACATGCTGCTTCTTTTAATTTGAATCCAGGATATAATGATAAGGTTTTTGGATCTAAGTTAGGGTGTACATATAGACATATAACAAGTTCACGTGGTGTATTTCCCTTTACGACACACCACATCACAATTTAAATAACAGGAAGTTCAAGATTATGCATACCATAACAAAGGCATTGGACGCTGCTGTTAAATTTATCCCTACCCCTCCAGCCTTCAGTGACATCAGCAACACCTAATTGCACAGACGTGCAAATAATCAAGTCCAAGCTGTCTACTAGACTACCAGATCCAAATGCTCAGGTTCCATCACAAAAGGGGAAAAGAAAGAGCAGAAAACAAAAGAAAGCTTCACAAACCAGGATGCTGTCATCTTCTGAAAATTGTTTTATGACTCTTTCACGCTGCTGCTGGTTTAGAGTTCCATCAAGACGAACAAATGGAATGTTTCTCCTGGCAAGAATGATAACTCCATTAGTATGACAATGATAACTCCATTAGTATGACAACGATAACTCCATTAGTACTGAATGCATGACTGGCCAAAATATGGTGTCTCAAGGCAACATTTTAAAGGACATGTATACACATATAACAGGACAAAATCATTGAAATTTTCATGAGCATGATAAAATAAATGCACAAGGTAAGCTCCCTCTAAAATAGCGAAACCATTCCCTGCAGGATCCCATGTACTCCATGTTAGTCCCCTTCCCCAGTGCACACACCAATTTATATAAACTAGAAATGACTATCACTGGAATGCTCACAACCAAAATGATTCCTTGAATTCTTCAAGCAGCTCTGAATTCGTACCTGGAAAGAGGGATTTGTAAAAGATCCAGAAAGCCAGTCCACTGACTGAAGAGAATGCTCTTAGATCCTGACAAACGAAGCTTTTCAAGTTCTTGTAAGAGAGCTGCAATTTTGGAAGATTCAACCCAATTTTTCTCAACATCAATCTGGAATCTACTGTCAGTCGGAGCCGTAATAAGCTCTTGCCTTGTGATCGTTTTCCTGTAAATGAAAAGATATGCTTCTCTTAGTTTCTAGGATAAGCAAATACAAAAGGACTCTAAGACCAGTAAATTTAAACCTTAAAAAAAACTGTAGATGCAAAACCAGAATAAAAAATTGAAAATACCTACAAACAGGACATAAACCAGAACTAGCATTTCGCCAACTTGCTAAGAGGCACTCTCGACACAATCGATGAGCACAAGCTGTCAATACTGCATCTTCAAATGCCTCAAGACATATTGGACACTCTCCCTGCTCCCCCTTGCTTAGCTCCTCCACAACCTCTTGAATATATGCCCTTGAAGGAACATCTGTGCCTTCTCCTTCAAGAACATTCTGTCCGCCTTTAAGGAAACGTTTAGCTAGCTTGTTCAGATCAGAATATTCTTGTGCATCACCTCGACTGGACACACAAAGCCACCCATTACCAATAATTTAGCAAATTCTCTTAAATAAATATGAGAAGAGCAATATCAAAACTAATTTACAAAACATTCAGTATAAGAAAAACACCGCACCTCAACTGGACACACAAGGCCGCCCATTACCAATAATTTAGCAAATTCTCTTAAATAAAGATGGGAAGAGCAATATCAAAACTAATGTACAAAACATTCAGTATAGGAGAAACTCTGCAGCAGTTGGTTTCCAACTATGCTGTTGTAGTTGTGGCGAGTCTAGAAAAATGCAAAATCTTTAATCCACAAACCACAAATCTCCTCCAAGAAGTGTTTTTCCATAATTTAATAATAACAATAAAGTGATTACAAAAGGACAAAATCAAACTGATAATGCCAGAAATAAAAAGACATCAAGACACAAGAGGTAGAAATGTTGAAGGGGATTATCTAGTTTCAGTGATTATTAGTTCATTTATGTTAAAACAGTAAACTATTTAGGCAGAAACTAGTTGTAAATTGTGATCCTTTCTCCTCATACAAAAAAATAAAAAAAATAATTGGGACAAAAAATTATATTCCAGTATCCAATCTTTTCAAAGAACATTGATTGAAGCATACACCAATATATACAACAGTACTCTTCAATTCCATTGAACCACCATTCTATCATTCATGAATTAATCAGCACAACCCAGCAGATAATAGAAAGCAAGCTAAGGTCCACACCTCATCACAAGAAACGGATGATCACAGCATTGACGAAGACGTAAAAGTAATTCCAAAATAGAAGCATAATTATGAAGAACCCGCCCTTGCTCAACAAATTGATCGAACTTCACCTGGGAAGATGCCCACCAGTACGTTATATAAAAGACATGAAAGAAAAATTATAATCAAATAATCGCATAAGATACAATAAATGTACCTTGGATCTTTTAAACAAAGCCTCGTAGAAATCTTTTTCAGCTTCTGTTAGTTGGCAGTAAATCACCTGAACATCAGCCGTCGGAAGAACTAGAATTGGCCTGCAACAATCAAAAAGTATTAGAGAAGAACTTTAAAAGGCTGAGAAAGGACAAAGCAATATGCCATTAGCTGCACCTGCCCTCTCGATCTCGACTAGACTTAGTTCTCCTTAACATAATAGGCTTTAAGATGGACTGGACCAACTTTAGCCCTCTCTCATCACCCTCCTCGCATGGTTTTTGGACAAGTTTATTCCACCTACGTTACACATAAAAATAATTTAACAAACATAATTTCCATGCCTCAAAATCTCTCAAAGATAATAGAAGTAAATTGAAGGGTAAATTTTAATTTGTCCTCCTGAGATTTGGTTTATATCAATTACAGACCTGATCTTTCATCGAAGTTTCAATTTTTCATTTCCATCTATTAAACTAGCATAGCATAACTAATAACATGTCTTTTTTTATGTTTCAGTTGGCTTCCTGAAGTATTAAAAAAGTCTTAATTATCCTTCAATCATATTAAAATCATAAAATTCAACTCATCAAAATATGAAAAAAAATATTAGTATTATTTCAATATGAAATGCCACTTTATTAGTTATTAGATTGAGTTTGTGAATTTTAATATGATTTGAAGGATTAATGTGGAAATTTCAATTATGATTTGGAAATCTATATATATATATATATATATATATATATATATATATATATATATATATATATATATATATATATATACGTGTTAATTTTATTATATTAAACTTCACATTTTACACAATTAACACATCTTTTGTTGAAAACATGAATATAAATTACGATACCAAGCTCTATTAACTTTTTTCTTTTATAAGACGCTATGTTAACATGGAACTAGATCGTTATCATTTTATTAAAATATGCAAGATTGATAGTTTTAGTTTGCCTATTTTTATCAATTTTTTTATAATTGCTAAAATATTATAAATTTGAGAAATGTGAGATCAAAAAAGAAAATATAATCCAAATTGAAAAAACAAGATTGTTAATAATGAATTCATGCTTAATTAAGACTTTTTTAAAACTTTAAGAAGTCAATTGAAACATAAAAAATGACACATCATTAGTTATGTTAGTTTAATAGATGGAAGCGAAGAATTGAAACTTTGATGAAAATTTAGGGGGTTAATTGACACAAACCAAATGTTAGGAGAGAAATTGAGAAACCCCTCAAACCTCAAAGAGGCAAATAAAAATATACCCTAAAAATGAAACGTAGAAGTTGCTTGACCTTAGGATCAGATCATCTATCTAAGAATACTAGCTCCCCAAAGCTTTAACAACTGCTTAAACCTACCAAGCCAGGTGTTTGTGAGAAGCAACATAACCCCATGCATATGTTTAACGATGATGATAGTATACACATGCATATGATATGAGCGAGGTTGTCTAGAAATTAGATACACAGATGGCAAGTTCATCAAATATGGTTTTACTATCTTCTCTATGCAAGAATGTTTCAACCAACACAAAAAATATTGCTCCACATTTTTATGTCTTGCTTCTCCTCAGCAATTGTCTACATGAATATTATAAAATTGTAATGTGATGTGCCTAAATGAAAGCCGCAAGTTTTGTTGGAAAAGAAATTAAAATTTAAACCTCACCACAGGGTCTAAATTCTCCTGTTATCTATTGATATCAAAAGAGCAAACCTATCACAGACTACAGAGAAGCATTTTTATTGAAGAAAGTTTTATAGTTTCTGCAACCAAGAAAAGATAAATGACCTACCATGCCCAACTTTCCCATGGTTCCACCTTCAGAAACCGAAGAAGGCTGTAGATGTCCTCCACATTGTTCTGAGACGACAAAATTACATGTCAGGATGCATAAAAACTACTAGTGAAAGGACCCCCAGATGGAATAAAAGTAATTAAATTTTCCAACCATAGGGTAAGAAATCATATCGGCAGAAGATAACTTATAAAACCAAACTACACAAATTTTCAAAGTGCATTGATATCATATTGGGGCTTATGAGTCCATCAAAAACTGGTGCATGATCAAAAACTGCTTCATGCACCAGCCTTTAGGCATCGCCTTTCTAACCAATTAAGCAAAGGAGTGTTCTTATGTAACTCCCAACTAAAACAAAGAGATTGAAAGGATATTGCTCACAGATAATGCACGATGCATGTAAGGAACTGTCAAAAAGCTTCACTCACAATATAATCTTGTGCCTCAAATATGAAAAACTGAACATATGCAACATTCAGCAGTTGGCACAGCACCGAGTACTTGATCCCAGCTACCAATTCAGAATTTAGAATTTCAAAGGCTCCAAATATAAGAAATCAACAAAGATATGAACTATCAAATGAAAAATGTAACAGAGGCATTTTGACCATATAGTTACAGAGACATCCCCATAAAATACTCAGAATTAAGTTCATTGTACTTTGGCTGATTAACATGCCTATGGGTGTGGTTAAGCCCATAGAACACCTTATGAATGAATTTAAGCAAACAAATTTCTCCATTGTATAAAATTATACTAGAAAAGATCTAACTTTTTAACATGTTTTGCTTATAATAAGACAATCATCGTTAATCTGCTGGCTATTTGAAAGAGGGAGGAGGTGTTGGGATCCACCATATCAGTGTTGGGATTTTATAAAATAAGAGCATACCTGGATAGGAGTGCCAGTGAGACACCAACGCCGATCAGCAACCAGAGCAGCAGCAGCAACTGAAATTTGACTTTTCGAGGATTTTATGGTATGGGCCTCATCAAGAACCACTCTAAACCAATGAACTGAATATAGTCCTGCATTCCCTTCAGCATTCTGCAAAGGAGACAGTAAAGCAGAAGGGTACTTTATTTTGTTATTTAAAAAAAAAGTGTCAAGAAAAAAAATCCTGTTAACACAATGAGCCTTTCAAAATACCTCTGCTGAAAAATCTGAAGCTAACACTCCATATGTGGTTATTACAACATTACTGTGGGCAAGAAAATTTGCATCCTTCACTCTACTTTGTCCATAATGAACATAAATGGAAAGAGAACCAGGTTGTGCATGAGTTTCTAACTCTGCCTGAAAAAGCACTCAAATGATCATTTTCATAAACAAAAAGATAACATAGACATACTTGAAGCAGTACCGAAATGCTACAATGTAAGTGCTTAAAGAAAAGGTTATGTGTCAAAATGCAACACAATACCTTCCACTGGCCCAGAAGAGTCACCGGACATATTATCAGATTGCCACCATTTACTAGCATCTTCTTTTGCTTCAACTTATCAAAGCCTGAAGATTTTGTAGACTTGGTCAGTTGATTTGGCAGTTGGTCTGAGTTATCACTTGAACCACCTCCAGTGCAAGGCTGACTCCCAGATTGACTGTTTGACGATCCACCCTTGCCTGAATGAGTGAGTAGGAGGGATATGGTCATAATGGTCTTCCCAAGTCCCATAGCATCTGCCAGAATCTTCAAAAGCATAATCTGATCAAGACACTGCACACAACAAAATGGGTATATATTCAAGTTTCAATAGAAGTTGATGTACAGGGACCTACTCCTCCTCTGGCCATTTGAAGTGTGCTTGGAAATTCTATTGTAGCATCGCCTGAAAAAACATTCAAATAGACAACAAGCTCCCTCCTGTTTAAAACAGATACCTCATTAATATCCATCTGAAAGAACTCTAACATATTGAATGCTACAAGAATCCAACATACTTGTCTGCTAAATGATAAGCCTCCCAACATGGATGAAGTGTTGTTGTTGCTGCCTCGTCCATGCATTTTCCCTTCTCCAGCTGAATCATCCAATGTAGGGCCTGCTTTTGGTAGGGACGAAGGTCACATTGGAGTGTACTGGGAGGATCCATTTCCTAAATCAGAACCATTGTCAAGTAAGTCACCTGCTATGTGCATGCACAAGCTCCATGCACATAATATTCTCATACAAAAGAGTACCTCTAACTCAGAGCTGTCTCCAACACCGACAATATTCTCAAGATTTGCATCTGATATGGACTCCTCATTCTCAACTTCATTTCCATTTCCAGACTGATTCTCAGACTTGCTGACATTTAACAATGATGCAAGAAGACCACAGCCATCCTGTTCATTTAAAAACTGATGACGAAATTCCAATGATAAAAGAAAGTGATTGGAAAGGACAAGTGCTAGCTTTTTTTACCTTTGAGTTCAAAGGTCGCTTCCTTGTGTTCAAATCGGCAGGCGTAAATTCTGCCTAATAATGAAAAAAGTTTATTACAACATTTAAGGGGCAAAACCCAATCATAGTTTATCTAATTAAAAAAAAAAAAAAAAAAAACAATACTATTCTGTAGCAAAATTCATAGTCTCCCTATTCAGCTTTATAGAAACAATAACAGAGTGGAGTCAAATGACAGATTATCAACCTTCTTAAAAGGGGTCAGGCCAAGCAAGCGGAACAAGTTTGGAAGAGGATGAACAATTGTTTCTTCAGTGGAATTGGCAGCTGCCTTAAGTGAGTTCTGGTGGTGCTTGCGGAACATAGCACTATTCAAGTATACACTGGGACAAGGTGCAGATTCATCAGCAACTGTAGGTGAATGCAGTGTCATAGCATAGTGTAGAGAAGTAACGAACCATCAGTTTTGTAATTTCACATATATGATGAGATGAACTAAGCATTGTTAAATTTATATTGCACAACTCGGGGTAAAAAGACACAAACAAAAGGCTACTTCACAAAATAGATTAAACCCTGACATTAGCAAGTTTACCTCACCTTATTGATAATTCAATTGTATCCATTATGCCCAGCACATCAGGAGCAGATTTACAACGTCCCATAATCCTGACCTTTCCATCTCTAACAAGTGGCAAAAGACACCGTGCCCACTCATTGGGTATTCGACCAAGCTGCCACAACCCATCAAAAATAATCTCAGCACAGCACATAAAACTCAAATTGATGCACCACCTAAATACCATCCCATAAATTACTCGCTCTATACAATGCATTAAAAGCACTTACATTCAAAGTAACCATATAGTACCCAATTGAATCACAAAAACACAATGTAACATACCTCTCCACTATCTTTCGTAGAAAACCTAACGATCTCTGAGCACGCTACGACTGTCTGCCTTCCCCTCCCAAAACCCTTACCCGGCGAAGGCGAATTTGAAATTTTACTCTTCAAAGGAAATGTGAAATTAACTTCCTTACCAGCCTTCACTCTCCTCCCTTTACAAGTCGACAACCCCGCCACCACACCACTCCCCACATGCCACCACTCGCTCCCAACCGAACTCAAAACCCTCTCACTATCATCAATGGTGCAATCCCTCGCGTCATTTTCAATGCAATTGACTTCTAAATTCTGACTCAAAATACGGTTTCCGTTATCTTTAACGACTAAATTTGGCTGTTTGTCGGGTACGGGATTAGGTTTTGATTTAGGGTTTGGATTTGGGGTTTTAGGGGTTGGGGATTTTTGTTTGGAAATGAAATTAGGGGCATCAAAGATAATGTTGATTGCAGCGGTAGGATTGTTTTTTGCCAAGTGGAGAGCTCTGATGATGTCCATATCGGAGAAATCAAAGCCCACGATTGATCGGACTGTGGAGATCAGCTCTTCGGTTAGCTTGGTTCCCATCTTCTGTTTGTTGTAAACAAAAGCCCTAACTCTAATTAGATCGATTCACTTTAGAATTGGGAGTTTATGGAGAGATTTTGAGACACCAGGAGGGAGATGAGAGTCCTGGTGCTACAATGCGCTTGCGGTGCAGGTTAAGAAAAGTTTGAAATGAGGAGGGATCGCCCGAGTAGAACAGGCGGGGGCGGGTGTGAATTATTAAAAGAGAAGGTGTACGAGAGGCGCTTTACACGTCATGTTTCCCGCCACTTCTTTTTGGTCAGTGATTTCCTTTTTGGGGCGGACTAACCTAGTCTTTCCTTTATTTTAAAAAAAATATTTCATTTAAGTCCCTTGACTAAATAATAGGCTAATTGATTCCCTATAACTTAACATTTTGCTTAATGGGAATCCTCCATTAAACTAAGTTTTTTCGACTCCGTTAAGAGATAACGGTTAATGCTCTAACGAGGCAACACGCGTTCATTGAAGAAATTTTATAATACACTAGGAGTAACTCAGTTGCATGTACAATAATTACTCCATGAGCCCACTTTGAAGAGAGAGATAGACACACAAAAAATAATAAAATTACATCCATACCCACCAAAAGCGATAAGAAGATTTCTCATGTTTTTTATTTTCTCTCAACGGAGTAATCTTTAGGTGGTGCATCAAAAAATAATGAAATTACATCTATACCCATCAAAAGCAATAAGAAGATTTCTTTTACTATTCTCTCCATTTGTTTTTTTATCTAATGAAATTTTTTTTAATATTCTCTCCATTTGTTTTTTAAATCAATTGTTTCTTTTACTACATAGTTATTAAAGGCATTTTAGATAAAATAAAATGTTTTTGTCAAAAATTTAAAAATTTTGGGTGATTCCATAAATACCATGATACTTCGAAGTTAAAATAATATGAAGGATGCATTAAAAAGAAAATAGAAACAAAAAGTGATTTTATCATATTGACCTCGTTTTAACTTGAGATTAATAATTGTTCTGAAAAAAAAACTTGAAATTAAAAATTTTTGAAATGTCTCGACTTTTGGAGATACTAGTTTTCTTATTCAATTATTACAATTATTACAAAACTCTCTAAAAGATATGGGTTTTTTTAACGGTTATTTTCACTATTTACCCCATCATGTGATATTGTTTGTAGATTGTAGTTAAAATTGGTTTTTTTTGTGATTTTTAAATTATTTTTAGATGTTTGTATTCAAAGTTTACATCATGTTTTATTTTAATTCGTAAAGTTTTAAAATTAAACTCAAGCACTTAGCTTGAAATGGGCTCGCTTCGTAGGTCCAAACTCGGCGAGCTTGCATGAGCTTGCAAAAGCTAGGCACTCATGCCTCGCTTTTTTTTTTTTCAATTTATTTATGTTTTTTTATTGAATTGGTTGTGAAAATTATAAAAAATCAATCATTATTTTTTTACACGAGTTAATAATTATGTAATATATATGATATATTTTTAGATTTTAGAATGAATATATATATCGGATTATGTTACTTCTAGTATTTAAAATTGATATTTTCAATTTGTTGTTTCTTATAAAAATTCTCATCAAATTAATTTTTTATTCTTTCTTTTTGTGTAATTTTATTTATTAATAAATATGATTTATTTTTTCTATGTATGTATTTTTGAATAATTTTTTTAACTATTTTTATTTGCTTAATTCTAATATAATCAAAATTTAAAAATAGAATTTATGTGTTTATTTTCTTATTTCTTATATCGTTAAATTTTATTAAAATCAATTTTTTAATTTTTTATTACACTCTATTAAATTAAATATTTTTTTACAACTTGATTTTTTTAAAAAAATATTTTTCTATTTATGTTACACATTTTGATCCAGCGAATACTTGTCATGATGTATAAAAAATAATAATAACGAGTCATTGATTTCATTATAAATCATTTACGCATCTACACATACAACATCAATCTGTTTACTATTATTTTTTTAATATTTTAAAATTAATTTCTTTCAAATAAAATAATCAAAATAATGTTTTAGAAGAATCTTCTAATAATCAAAATTAATATCATTTATTATTTTGTAAACAAACATATATAAATCAAATGTAAATATTTTCAACAAAAAAAAAATCTTCTCATCAATAAAAAAATTATTTGTTAATTTTCATAAAAAAAATTTATATTAATTGTTGTTTTATTTATTTGATGCAATTTTATCTAAAAAAAATATTAAGAAGTTTTATAAAATTTTATATTAAATTTAGTTTATTATGGGTTTTTATTTAAAAATAAATACATAAAAAAGAACAAACCGTGTTTTTTTAACTACAAAGTTTATTCAAAACATAAACAAGAAAATTATGACATAAAATTTTAATTAAAAATTATAAAATTGGATAAACTTTATCTTTTATATTTACTTTAATATATTTTAGTTGATTAATAATATAATATATATTATTAAATTAAAATAAATATATTTAGTTCGACTCATGAGTTTAATACAAGAATCCGACTAGTATCTTCTTGCATGCATTTTTTGTTATGTATCGAGAGAGGATGTCCTATTAATAAAAAGAGGCTTGGCTTTTCTTATTGTCATTGATCCCCAAGGTATCGCAACCTCTACTTTGGACTTTTGATGATGATGTTGCATTCCTCTTCTGCTCGCTGCTTTAACTGTGATACCATCAGCAGCCATTAATAGAACCATATAAAACTTAATGCCATTTATTTGATGGCAGTAATACACAGCATAGGGATATACTTTCTTATGGCATGATACTGTTTTATCTCCAGGCGTTTTGACCCATGTTAAAACACCATACTCTAGTTTCTTGCATGTTTGTGTTGACATGACCTTAACGTTCCTGCCAAACCTTGCAACAGCGAGATCCATTTTTTAATCTGGGAGCTTGATATAAGAAAACTCTATTTTTAATTTTTTAATGCATCTATTCCTAATCAATAAGCAATGCATCATTTCTAAATCTGATTATTTGTTAATTGGATCTATAAGGAGAAAGACACACAAAAATCTTACTAAATCAGTTATCTCACTAATCAAAACAGTTATCTTATTAATCTAATCTTTGATTTTAAAGATTCAAAAAACACAACATTAGTTTACAAGTAGCAACAAAAAAAAGTGATAGACCCACGAAAGAGAAAGACGTACAAGCAAACAAATTATATAATATTACAAGCAAACAAATTATATAACATTACAAAAAAACAGATCTAAAGGAGAAAGACACACAGAAATCTTATAATTTCGACAATATTATAAGAAATCACAATAGATTTAATTGTTCTTTTGCAAATGTTGTTTGCTCAACAATAGCGTTAGCTTTGTTGCGGCGGAGTTGGATGGCAATGACGTCCTTGGGTTGGCTTCGGACAGCAATGAAATGGGTGAGTTTGGATGAGAGCGGGGATAGAAAGTAACAAAGTTTCAAAGAGAGAATGTTTTTTTTTTTTTTTGTGGAAGTCACTTTCTCAAAACTTAGCTTTTAATTTTCATGCAAGGCCAAATTGATCTTATTAACATTCGGGGCATAAAACTTACACAAGTCCGCATTGCCTTGTGCTCAATACTTGATAAATTGAAGATGGTGAGACTTGAACTCGAGACCTCAAAGTCAACCAAGCTCGATACCATATTAAAGAATCATCTCATCTAAAAACTTAAGCTGATAAGTAAGATACTATAATATAATTTATATTAGTCTCTAACAGATTTTATACTTTCACGCTTGTGTCCTTGCACATTTTTTATTATTGCACCACTTACGAACTCAGCTTCGTTTGATCCAGGCCTTCTTAAGAAGTATTCCAATATTTCAACGGATAAGAAAATGGTATACACTGTAAGATTTGAAATAAGATCGGTAATGTGTTCCTTAAAAGTCTCAATTCAAAGATTTGATGAGATAAGAAATTGGTTTCAAGAATTATCGAGCAGCAATATCATCCTCTGTCAAGACGGAAACCGTTGTAGAAGCAGGTCATATTAGAGAGATCTGCGTTTCCTTCCAATATCCCACCAAGCGAGAGAGCATTTTTGCTTTCTATATTTGTTTGGAATTGCAGATCCTAAACAAGAAAAAATGCATGTTAATAAAACAATATATAATTTGTTTAAGGTTAATTGGTTGTAAAGTATCTTGAATTATTATTTAACATGAAAAAAAAATTAGAATTTTTTTTTTTAATTGGGATCCCTAACTATTTTTTGTTCTGCAATTAAATTTTTTGTTTGGCTCACCAATGTTAAACAATATTGAATTTACGTGAAAGACATGCAGAATCATAAAAAGCATATTTTATATATTTAGAATTTTTAAGATTTATCTTTATTTTAATGACTCCACATATTTTTCATGTCGCATAAAATTAATCAACAAAATAAAAGAATTTAATTGTGGATAAAAAAATTAGACCAATAATTCAGAGTATTTTATAACTAATTAGTTTTTGTTTAAATGTATACTTACTTCTTATTAAGATACATGATATACGGTATCGTTATTTTTCATGAATCGTCGAGCTGTAGTTGGACCATGGTGCTTGTCAATCCGATATTTCACTGCGGGTGGATCTCCGTCGCGACACCATCCAAAAAAGCACTTTTGTCTTTTTTCTTACCGATATGAATTTGAAAATCACAAATAGGAAAACAACGTATAATTAATGTTATAAATACACACACGAAATATATTAATGTTTTGTTTTTCATGTATATTTCTTATTATGGTTGATGCCACCATTATTTTTTATGATTTTTTTTTTTTTTTTGCCACAATTGAACTAAAATGCAAATTCAGGGTGTAATTGATATTAAAAGAAAAACCATCTAACCAAGCTCCTGTACCGTCCCGAAGAACACACCCAGCAGTTGGTCTTCGCAAAGCCCCAGCCGTATTAACTTTAATCCAGTCATAGGAAGGAAGACTCCAGCCGACAGACAGCTCAATGGGAGCAATTGAGTTAGCCAACTTTCGTAAATCCATGATAGACTCAAAATCTCTCGAACCCATTGGTCAATATAACTCAAAAGTATTGGATGGTGGAGAGACCTGCATATCAAATACGGCCTTATTCCGCTAAATCCAAATGTTCCAGCACATCCAAATCAGAGGTTCCAAGAATTCCCATCAAGCTGAAGGTCTCTACATTTGAATTTATGAGATATCCAATCAGCTAAAGGAAGAGGATTAAAACCTGGACAGAAATGAATGGCAAAACAGGCTTCCAAATTTGTTTCAAAATTACATAAGTTAGAAGTTAGATACGATTTTGCAGAAACTAGTGGTCTGCAGAAACTAGGATATCCTTGGGAAGCATCAAGCTTTGAGATCAACTTTGACCTATGGAAGCATTTATACAAAATGATGGCTATCTCCAAAGTAGTTGAACAAAAGCAGAGAGAGAAATATGTAGAATAAAATCTAGTCATATCATGGCAACTCTGATCTTCACCTTCATCCATTGCGAATGATGTTCCGCTCATTCCAGATCGGACAGCTACATGTTGCTCTCTTGTTCTTCCACTCAGCTCCACAAGTATAACAGAACTCATATCCACATCTACCAAGACAAAGCAAATAACAGGGAATAAATAAAGTTAGAAGAAGGTAGGAAAAAAAAAACATAAATATCTGTTACCTTATTAACCATGAATTTTTGTTCCAGGTTGTATCGAATTAAGATAAGAATAAACAAGATGCAGAAAATTGCTGCAGTGGGGCAACACTGTTAGGTTCTATAGGTGACAACTGGGTTCCTACCATAGTTAACCATTCATATTTCTTCATTTTTTACACCACTTCAACGTATATATACAATCAACAATAATTTCCCACAAATCAGGCAGTAGATCAGTGCTCCATTATTATTTTCTTCCTCAACATATTGCTAAGTTTCCTTTAAAAAATAATAGGAGAAAATAACAATAAGTGCCCAGAGAGTGATACAGAGAACACATTACCTGCAAGTGATATGATAGCAGCCTTCCAAAAGTTCCACCATATGGCTGCACTTTGCGCATTGACGCCATAGTTTTCTTTTTGCAAGTCTATCAAGCATCACATCGTCTGTGCGGGGATGAGATTTTGATCTTTTATAATCATAACAGGTCACATTGTAGTGCCATGGAACTCTGCAGTTGATGCAGAAAAACAAATGACATTTTACACATTTCCTGACTCCAGATTTTTCACCACCAACAAATGAAGAATTTGTATATTCCAACGCCTCACTTTTTGACATCAATGCTGAGCATCTTGGATGTGGACAATAAACTTTATCTGTGACAGCAATAGAAGCTTCCCTTTTCCTTTGGCTCATGATCTCAACTAATTTTGAGTCCAGGAATTTCCCACAAGTCTCAATACTTACTTCAGATTTGCAGGCTTCATAAGGACACTTAGCTGTCATCCCATTAAGTAACTTCACTTCAACATGCTGTTTCATACAGGAAAAGCAATATCTATGAAGACAACCATCAACTGAGAATATCTGATCTACATCTGTATCTTCGTAGCATATGGCGCAAGTCTCTTTCTGTTTCCTTTTGCCTTTGCTAGTTTCTGCAGGCCAAGTGATCTGTTCTGCAGGCCAAGTGATCTGAGAAACTATAGCTTCTCTTGCAAGTCTAAATGCAAACTTGATCTCAGAACATGCTACAAGGGTCGACTTACAATCAGCAAACTTTTTCTGAAGAAGAGACACCTGATTCACCAAGGTCGAAATCTTACTGTTTTGTGGTTGAACTGTACCTGTAACCTGTGGTCACATGTACAATTTCAACAATCCAATAGTCCAGATGCTTAAAAGACTGAAAGCAGGAAATTCCAATGTTTGCAAGAATGACTAGCAACTAGAATTGCAACTAACATAGCTTTGCTCAAACAAACCCCTGAATGTTTCAAATCACGAATTACAGAGAAATGAAGTTTCAATTGAAGCAATTAGGAATAGGGAAACAAATATAAGTGTTACTGCACCACAAAAATGATAATGCTGACTTCAAAAGTGACACCTGAAGGTGAAAAAAATAGTTCAACGCTGAAAATAAAAAATTTCAGATTAAGATGATGAACTAAGAAAACGCTAAACAAGACAAGTTTTATCAAGAATAGAGGGAATTTATCTGTTGTTCCTATATTGCATCTTTTGCACATAGTTCAAGTGAAGCATAAATCTGCATGACTGCTTAAATGCTTGCCTTGATCCAACACTCAGTCCCATGTAATGGGTTCACTAATATACGCAGTACAAAAAACATTTTAAATTGAATCACAAATTTAAACTCTGGCACTCTGCAGCTTGAACAGGTAACTAAATAGTTGAAACAGGAAGCTACTTGCTGACCTCTTAAATCAGTAACTGGTTAGGATCTAGGTTTTAAAGGTTAGGCCTTTGAATTTTAAATTTTAGTCACCATATCCATTCCTGTCACATTACGGATAGTTTTCAAAAGCAGCTATGTTTTTGGTTTGGATCTAAAAAGGAAAACATCCATTACGATCCCACCCACAAAAGTAAGATCTTAAAAGAGGAGGCCTTAAAACAAAAACACTTTCACATTTTCGGTCAATTCCAAAGGCTAATTGCACAAAGATACAATTAAACCAGTGCAAACCCACTCAGAGATTATAACTGCAAAGTTTCCCTACAATATGACAAGCTCGTAGGAAGATGTGCGTATTGTTTAGTGGCCCAAGAAGCTCGGAAAATTGTTTAGCTTGTCAGTAAGGATTCTACCCGTTTTAAGGAGCAAATCAAAGATGTTTGGGTTTTACCATCATTAACAGATGATAAGAATCTTTTGTCATGTAATCTAATAAAACCCATGTTTTGTTTTGGAATACAGAACTTTACAAAGCAAGGTTACTATGAAGAGATTCGAGGCAACATAGTTTATGATCTTGAAAAGAACTGTCTTGAAATTAGTGATAACAAAATTAACCACATAAAACTTACACCCAAAAACAAATCCAAACAAGTCAAAGAACGATCCATCCTAATAAACTCAAGCATTAAAAAATTCAAACATACTCGAGACAGCATCTTTAAAAATAATTAAAAAAAAAGAAGGAGAAATCTACTCACATATTGGTAGAGCATAGAGTCGTCAACAAAGAAGGTGAGGTTTTCCAAATCCAAAGCCAAAGCAGCATTTAACCCTTCAATCAAAGCCTGAAGCTCCACTGCAAACCCTGCACTACTCTTACTACTACTGCCTTCTTCACCAATATCTAAACCCTTACTAACTTCAAAAATCAAATTATCCTTGGAATCACAAATGGCAACACCAATTCCACCCACAATTACCTTCAAATCCCTAATTCTCTCTTCACTCTCCACTCCCTTGCAGTACAGTTTAAGAAAACTAACCCTCTCTCCGCTCTCAAACGGCTTTTCGTAATTATCTCCGTATTCTTCCCATTCTACGTCAGGGATGTTCATGATTTCGCTAGCCACTTTTTGATCGTGCATTCGACGGTCCAAATCTTCTTTCATTTCTCTCATTAGTTGCTCACTTTCTTCACGGTCCTTGCATTGTTGATCCAACCTCTCGATTTCCTCCAGGAATAGAGTCGAGCAGCAATCGAAATCTTCTACTCCTACTTCGTCAGTTTTGAAGGAGGAAGAGGATGGCGTGGGCGATGAGGGAGGGCGATTGAGGGCAGCGAGAGAGGCGGTCATCGCTTCTTGCATTTGGAGATGGAATGCAAATTCCAGGTCGGAGTTTAAGGTTTTGGCCTCTTCGATTTCGCGTTGTTGCTCCGTCAGTACAGACTCCATCTCCGTGTCTTCGAGTCTCGCTTTCGTTTGTTTGTTTTCCATCCTGACTTGTGGCTTCCTTCTTTCCCTCCTTCCATATATGTGTGTGTGTGTGTGTGTGTGTGTGTTGATGGGATTCGGGAAACCAAAGGTGGTCCATGTCGTTTTTCTTTCTTAAATGAAACAAACATGGCCTTTCGATGTCCCGAGTACTTTCTATTTTCACCCTTGTAATTCAGTAATATTTCACTTCGGTTTGATGATTTTAATTTTCTCAATTCTAGTCTATCCTATTATCAATCTCTCTTTTTTAAAAAAAAAAAAAATTGAGAACTGATTGCCCTCAATCGCTCTTTACGAATTGATTCTAAATTCGAAGATTCTAAATCTTCCACACCCTTTAAAGTGAAAAAAATAAGTCTAAACATTATAACGGCTATAAAAAAACATGAAAAAAGAAAGTCAAACTTGGAATTTTTAGTTGGAAATTCAATATTTTCACCACTAGACTATTCTTTGTGATTTTCTAATATTAATTTTAGCTAACGATGAGTTCTTCAAAATATATATATATATATATTGCTTTTAGGAACTTTTCATGATATGTTATTACATATAGGAAGGCTTGACAAAAATAACAAAAAATGGAAAAAATTGCTAGCATTTCAAAGTAGATGGACTCAATTAATATGAAATGACATTTCTAGGTACAAGACCTGCTTTGGGTAAATCGGATCGAACTTCCTGTGCAAGTATTGCAGCTTGCATATTCTAAAAACGAATGTAAACAGAACTGGCATTGTTCTCGTTGACACAAATATGCTTCAAGTCTCCGAACCTTGAGAAGTCTTCTTGCACGTCTTCCTTAATATCCAAATAAAAAACTGGTCGAGTCTCTGTTTTTTGGACAAACACTTGTTCTTAAAGTAACATAGCAATCGATCAATTGAAACTGCGCTTTGTATATTATAGCTGTATTCAATTTTTGCAGTGCTGACTCAGGTTGTACTCAGAAGGAAACTATGAGAATGTATCAATCCTGCCATGATTAATAGATGAGTTCTGATCTAGACCAGGTCAGAAAAGAATTTAGTTTTAATAAAAATTGATTCAAAAATACTTTGATTTCGACTCATGCGGCTTTACATTACTTTTTAATCGAGAGATAGAGTAGTAGGAATGAAAATAAAAATTTTATTCGCACAATGTAACTATTTGATTAAAATGAATAAAACGAGAATGCGAATAAATAGTGAGAAAAGAAATAAAAATTCACACACAATTTTATTTCTACATGAGATGTGAGAATAAAAATAAAGTATGGGAATGAATTTCTTTTTTCCAAAATAATAATATATTTTATTTATTTATTGTCTATCGATTACTTTTATCACTACCACTCGCTACTATCATCATCATCACAACCACCACCACCATCATTAAACCCACCATTGTCATAACCACCATCATCATTTTTATTATTTTTACAACTATTATAGTTTGATAAAATTATTTTTTTAATCATTATTTTTATTTATATAAAAAACTAGATATTAAAAAATTTAAATTGCATTTCGATTCTTCGTTAGTATTCCAAACACAATATGAGAATACAAATGTCATTTTGATTTTTCGTTTCTATTCCAGATTTTTCATTCATGATAACAAAACGACACCTAATAGCAATAGATTTCGTAATAAATTCTAAAAGCGTTAATGTCATTTTTCACGTGGATTAAGCCACAACTATTAGCAATGAATCCAACTAACCAATTCTACCAAAAATTATTGGTAGATTCAGTCTATTGTATCATTTATAAACTAGATCTATAAAAATAAAACACAAAAATAAAAAAATAAAAAAAAATAATGTAAAATACATATATCATTACCATGAGGATCCTTGTTTTTTTAAGATTAATATTTTTATTTGTTCTTATATAATAGATTAATTTTTCAATCTATTTAAAAAAAAAATTAATTTGTCTTTATATTTTGAGATTGTTTCTAATTTATCATTTTAATTAAACATTTTGATCAATTTTTAGCCATTAATCTTTATATTAGTAGATATAGATAACTTAAGCTAAATAATAAAGATAATTTTATCAAATCACATGCTTAATTTGACTTAATTTAATTAGAAATTTTAACTAAAATGATATATTAGAAATCATATCAAAATATAAAGGCATATTAAAATTTTTTAAAAAAATTAAACTATTATATAAGAAAGGTATTAAACATATTTTTTATTTATATATTTTATTTTCATGGACTCAAACGAGGACACAGGATGTGAAATTGTGCAGATTGGCCGGAAGAACCTCCACTTAATGGCATGGCCACAGAGATTTTTAGACAGATGAGTGGATGTGTATGGAATGGGAAGAAATCAATCGGTAGACTGAAGCCTACCTAACAATTTCTCTAATAATGAGTTGGAATTATAACTTTTTTTAATAAATGAATAAAATACGAAATTTCTGCACCATTAGATTTAAAAAAAAATGTTTTTAGATGGATCTGAAAATACTTTGATTTATTTCGAGTCTCTGTTTTGCTAGTTTTTGTACGAGTTGATTAAATAGAATTATACTAAAAAAAAACCATTTAGAAGACTGGACGATGATAATGTCACTCCACATTATTCTATTCTAATGGCATTTAACTCTATAGTGAATTTTAAATATGTTAATGTCAATTAAGAAATGCCAACATCATTTTTCAGGTGGATCATGTCACTACTATTATCAATATAATTACGTGAGAAATTATACGAAATTATATTGATAGGTTAGATGATGACTATTGTCTTTTTTTAGGGTAAAAATATTAATTTATTTTTATATAATATCTAATGTCTCACATCTGTTTTTGAAAATTTTTAAAATGTTCAATATGTCTTTCTAATCAAATTTTTTCGATTGCCTATTTTTTTTTACTGAAATACTCTTGACTAGAATGAAAAAAAAAATCTAAAGATAAAAAAAAAAAAACACCTAGATTAAGTAACTTTAAGTGTTTTGTTTTTTTCTTTTTTTTTGTATTTTAGAAAATGATATTTTGGTAAAAAAATCATGGTAGAAGAATTTTATTGAAATATAGATTAAACATTTCAAAAACTTTTAAGGACATATAGTAGGCTAAGCCTAGTAATTTCTCTAAACACAGTAGAATCTCTTTAAATTAATACACGATAAATTAATAAACTCTCTAAAATAATATTTTTCTTTGGTCCCGACTTGGGCCAGCTTGAAAAAATCATCAATTTTGATAAGATAATAAGATAATATATTTTCAGAAAATCCCTATATAAATATATGGTCCCATTGATATCACAAGATAATAATTTTTTAAAATTACAAATATAACTAAGACAATTTAGTGAAATATGATTCTAGTGTTGTCTCGTTTTTTCTTAAAACTTAAATCTAGTTGGAGTTCATCTCTATATGCTATCACCATTATACATTGAATGTTTTTAGTCAAAATACAATGAATTGTATTTAATTATTAAGAAACAATAAATAATAATTTATTGTTTCTTAATAATTAAATACAATTCATTGTATTTTTATTAATGTTCATTGTTTATGGAGGTTTAACTTATTAAGTAATATTCATTGTATCGTTTCTTGAATAAATAATGTTTATTGTTTTTTAATAATTAAATACAATTCATTGTTTCTTAATAATAAATAGTAAAATGAATTTATTTTTTATATTAATTCAATAAATATGATACATAAATCAGCTTGTAACCTCTTTAAATTTATCTAATCAAAATTCAACTTCATTGAATTCCGAAAACACTCTTTAAATTAATAAATATTAATTTATCGATTAATTAATTTCTCTATAAAATAATAAAATCTCATGGTCCCAACAATATTAATTTATGGAGGTTTTATTGTAGTAAGTTGGAATCATGCTTTATTTTTTTGTCTAATAAATAAATAAAATATTAAATTGCTCCACTCGTTAGATTTTTAAAAATGTTTTTAAATTCATAAAAATCAGACAAAATTTTAAAATTATTAACAACAAAGTGTTTATCTCCTGAATATTTTACAAAAAATTGAATTTTTTCAAAATTTAAGTTTTTTTTTTAATTTTATTTTCCTTAATGTCTTTGAGAGCGGGGTGTTATTTTATTAGTTATTTAGTGCCATTCAAGTATGATTGGGTTCGATGATTGTAATATTTACACATTTATACATCACGAGGTACAAAGTTAAGCATGAAAGCCAAACTTAATTTCTAAGTGAGAAACAATTTCTATGTAGATGATGCTCCTTTAAACGAGTACCTTAAACAAGCTCATCATGAAGGTAGTTTAAACTTGTCGTGGGCGGATAGTTTGTTTGATTTTTTTTTTCGATAACTTTATCCTCATTTGATACATTTTTTTTAATGAATAAAGTGAATAAAAATGATGCAAGAAATCATAATGAATAAATAGAAGTCAACGAAATAGGTTATTCGAAAAAAAACCGAGTTCAAATTTCGTAACATCTCTTCAAAATGCAAACGCAAACATACATACCACCCAATAGGGCCGTGGATCGACCCCCGTGATTCTAGGTTCCATGAAATTATGGGCCTTTACCGTACATTCTAGAATGCAAAACCACAATACGTCGGCGGTATACTTGTCGTCCACTCAAATACTTGTGCCCAAGCAAAAGCGACGTGGCCCATGATTTACTAGGTACGTTTCTACCATTAAAGTTAATAAAACTATGAGCAAAATATTGAGTTTATTTCATTTGTATTGAAACAACAATTTGTATGGTATTTGATCATTTTCTATATCAAATCAACAAGATGTTTCTTTTTTCTTTTTCTTATAGTAATATTTTTGTTTTTAAATTTGTAATAAAAACTTATCAATCCACATGTATTGTTGATCCATTATATAGCAGATCTATTCCTGCGTTGAAGGTAAAGATCATTCCTCCACTTCTTTACACACACACACACACACACACAAGGTTTTGAGTTATTTTTTGAAGTTT